CTGCGAATTGGCTTCTCAGCTTAACCACGTCAGGAGAACACGAAAGAAGTGTATTTTCAAACACATTTCTGGGCGTTTTTTGATGAACACTTGTTCTGGGCGAAAAGGATAGCGGTAAGTGGAACGCGACTCGCGATAAAAGTCTCGCCGCCATGTTTAGTTTTGTTTTTTTCTTTTCTTTTAAATACTCGCGCGCTCGCAGCATTCGCACCCATGCCTCGCGCGCCAAAAAAACTATATAGAGCCACCTTAAGAGAATTACAAAAGAAAAGTCGCAATTTGCAAAAAGTACTTGATCGTTTTAACAGTTGTCCGATTTTTATAAAATATTCGCGACCATAACTACGTAACTTTGATAATAGATAAAAACAATGATTATCAGGGTTCATCAACGGTACTCTCATCACATGTGGTGTGCAGAGAGGCATACGATTCAGTTACAATGGTTAGCCTTCTCACCTACATGTAAATACATGCAAATATTCAAGACGAAATTCAGATGGAGCGAACGCAACACATTTAACAAAAAAACCCTACTCTTAAATCTTGATCATCCTCCAGTAGTAAAATAAAGGTAACTACAATGATGTCTTTGTGACAAAAAATCGAAAAGTAAGTTTTGCGTACTTTGAACACAGCGAGTAAAGACTTGGCCACCATACCAGTTCTACCTCCCGTGTACAGCGTCCTTCACCTTGACCAATTTCTATGACGGAACGGCTCGTCGGTTTTGAGTCCTGCTTCCTGGCTCTTGCCCTTGCGTAGGCCAATGCTGCTTCTGCTGGCATCTCTGACACGTCAAGAACCTCATCGCTGTTTCGGAACAACGCCCGGGGACGAAATTGCAGTATGTCTTGTTCCTCAAGCACCCGCTCAAAAGTTTCCTCATTGAAAATTTTGTATGAGAAGCGCCGCGCCTTTCTTTTAAAAATCGGCTGACGGAGGTGACGAACATCACGCACACTGTCCAGCATAGGGTTTCCTAGGCGATGGAGCATGTGAGCGAAGTAGTTCTGCGGTACTTGAAGGCAGTCAATATGGCACCATTTTCCTTTCGAGGAAAGAAAAAGTGTAAGTTCAAGCCGAACAGAAATAACGCATTGCGGGGTTGGCAGTTACCTGGATGATCTGGTACCAGTGATCCATTGATTCGCTCCACCAAGACCCCAAGCCATTTGAAATAATCTTCAAGTTCCTCGTCAGTGAGTGCGGCTGCTTTCGGCTGTTCGCACGGACCATCAGACTCGTCCAAAAATTGCACGAAGTCAATGTTTCTCTCTTGGTGCCTCAAAACAAAATGTTTTTTCAATGAAACACTTGTTTTAAACTTCTTTGCGCACAACTGACAGGGAACTGAAAAAGGCATTATTCTTTTCTCGCACGGTCCAAAAAGTCTTCACTTGGCAGTCCTCGAGGTTCTTCGTAGAAGTGCGTGGCGTGCGAAAGTCGGGAGTTAAAAGCGATAAAATTTCTCACTTCTCCGGAAACAACAAGCAGTTCGCGTTATTTACAAATTAAACAAAGTGCTTAGTCAATGACGCGTATCTGGGATATTGAACGTCGCAAACAGAAGGTAGGACAGTTGGAGTTCATTTGTGAGAATTACCGTTGATTTTGTCCTCTTCGATACAGTAGTCTCCTTTTTCTTCCTTGGTCCACTCATTTTCAACGCTCACAGTTCCTTCGTTGACTTTCTTTTCATTCATAGAGTGATCAACACATTCCACACTTTTCCTCATGTATTTCTTTCTTTGTTTCCTCATTTTTGATCTTTGACGCATCTCCTCGATGGAATGTCTCCTAAATTTTGACATCTCATATATCCTGAAGCAAAAAGGTTTAGGGCAAGAATCCACTCTCTCTCACTAAAATTGTGAAACGATTCGTGGTCAATCGGTGCGTTCTCTGATAAACATCGGTTACTTGAATGTGAATGACACTAGACTTCTTCTCACAATTGCCCTTGAAAGGCATCTTTTGTTTCGAAGAATAGCCTTTTTTTCCCTTGTCAAATGTGAAATTTTGACAGTTAGGTAATTTCAAGTCGACGTCCGTAGGTGCTGGTTAAAATGTTGTGATTCTTTGCTTTGAGACGTTATTACTTTATTTTCGCAGTTTCGTTCTAATTAACTATGATTGAGTTACTTGTCGTCTCTTCATGAGCGGGAGCAACAAAAAAGTCATGATAGGAAAAGAAACCACAGCAGCGGCTCATTATGTTTTTGTGTTTTGTCAATTGATGTTAACAAAACATGTTTATAAAACATAAAGGTTGTTCGCGCGAAAAATTTCCAGTCGATAGTTTTTTTTTAAATTTTTTTCTGCAGTCAGATAATGAGTTACTTGTGTCAGAAATGAAAAAAAAAGGGGGGGTCACCGACTTCGTTCCAGAGATAAAGCGTTTGGAAAACTACCCTGATTTTGAAAAAATGGCCACACGTAATTCAGCATGGGCTACAGGGGTTTATAGTTAAAAATATTGAAGGTGAATCAACAGAGGCAAACGATCTTAGTCATATTTTGTAGAAGCGGATCTGCTGCGTAAATAATTCCAAATGTTACCAACGTTTTCACAAAACTTAAACCGTCGAGAGGCATTTGAAACCATCGCACAGATGAACGAAGAGCTAAAAAGAACGGAATTCGATGCTGCATTTTGTAAAAAATTCAAACTTCTAGTCGATAGATTTTCTTCATTTTTTCGCAAAACGCAGAAAATCGGTAGAGAAAATGATCCATCAAAAGAAAAATAGGGATCACCGAACGTCCAAGATCGTTGAATCCAGGAAAAGTTTCAGCAATGGCCATCTGCCCATCATTGTTCACTTTATTACTTAGCGCGCGCTTATTACTTAGCGCGCAACTATGAATACCGGCAGTCAGAGACGCTTAATCACCCGAATTTCAGCTCCTAGTATCGTCTCAATTCGGCCTGGCCGGCGAATTTGATGGAAAACCTCGTATTTGGGTGAAGCAAACGGAAAATAATTGGTGGCAGACTTTGACACAACGCTCTCAAACATGGTTAACAAAGTGTGGCATCAAACTGAGGCCCTTA